CGATGTAGGATACACTGGGTACTTGTGCAGGTTTTTGCAACGGTTTCGATCCTTGTGACAACATCAGCAACCTTGCTTTGGCACCATCAATGCAAACATCGGTGCAGTTGTCCATTGTTATTTTCATACATAAAATTATTCCCGATGTTGAACATCTCAGTGCTAGTAGTGTTCTTTGATAAAGATTTACACAATAGCATATCTTCTTCCAAGGAAAGTAGGTGTTGGTATCCTACAAGCACAATCAACACGGCAAATCCTGCCATACTTGTCGATTCATCCATTTGAAAAGGATAGTGAGTATATCTGATGCCGGCGGTCGATTCCTCCTTAACCCATATCATTTGTTAGTGGTGTTACAGACAGTTCTTTCGCTGATTTTTCATCCACCATCCACCTAGTCACTTCGACTGCACATAGCTTGATAAGTTTCTCGACTATTGTGTGACGCTATATTGTCAGCGAATACGATAACTAAGATTGTAAGATGCATCAGTAGCTTTTTCATTTCCAGTCCAAAAACGCTTGAAGCATATACTTTTGGATGGTCAACATTTCATCTCACATTATTTTTTTCAAAATATTGTGGCATTTTTACAGGCACTATGGAACTGTTCGGAGGAACTTCCTTACAATAGTCACACTAGACAATGGTTGGACTCCATAAATGCAAAAATGCTAAATACCACTGCTACGGAGGCTCCGGTTGACACAGATTTATGTTGCATCACATCAGGCGGTACAGGTACATGGAAAATCTCCAATTCATGAAATCAAATGAACACACTCGTAAAACACCGAATTATCCCCCCTTTGTTTGTGGGCTTCCTTGGGTGGGGTCGCGCCAATAGGCCTCTATCTCCAGGTTGACCTTTTCGGGGGATAACGAATTCCGAAATGAACACAAAATGAGTCCACATCTTATGACTTGCTTTTCCTCTTCCACCGGGAGACAAAGCCTCGGTTAAGTAACCTTGAGCAGACGTAGAATGATCCTTCCAGCTGTCCCCTATCGCATCATGGTGAGATAACACAATACACTTGAGACATTTGACCGCTTCATTCACTTACAGTTTAAGTTCCTACCAATACCGGATTTCTTCTGGGAAGGAGTGTTTTACATGGCCTATGCATAACCCTAATGTTAACCGTCAGATGGGATTTAACAAATGTTCACAGGAACTTAGTTGTCAACCCATAAAATAAAATGACTACGTCCAGAAGAGTTGTTAACGGAATTATAGCGTTTCAGAAAATCCCGTGGACCCCCTGAAGGTAACCGGCCGACCCATTGGGGATCCGCACGCCACATTTTGAGAAACACTACTCCAGGAGCAAATCATTCTCTTGTTCTTATTTGCCGTTTCAGTCACCCATCTGTTTTTGCGTATTCTTTTAATGTACATGTGAGTGAACAAATTTCTCCGCATCCACACCCGTTTTGTGCTTATTTTCTCGGCTTCCTTAATATTGGTTATGCTTTGACTTGCATTTGCTTCTTTGCTCTTCGCCGCCTGATACATTGCTCGCAACTATTACTCGACCCCTGTACGTTCTCTCACATAGTATTTTGCCGCACGTACACAGATGGGTCAATCACAACATGTCTCAGAATATTCTGCATTGTGGTCGGACTCCTTGTCTTGTTATTCAGCATTCCATTTGGTTATTATACCCGCACTTCAACAGCACTATAAAATATCCTCTCATCTTAATTTTAGCTTCCCCCTTAATTATTGCGGTTTGCATTCTTTTTCAATCCTGATTACCGATTTTTGCATCTCCTGGGAGGGATCCATGCATTGATCTATGATTAGGATTAATGGCAGTCTTGTCGTTTCTGTTGTTAAGTGGTCTTCCGATCCTCCTTTACATGAGGTTTCCGCGATTTTGTGTTCTCCGGATGGACGCGATTTGGTGTCAGCTTCTATTGATGGAAATATGATACTCTGGAGTGTCGATTCAAACGCCGAATTTAAACCAAAATGGATGATTTCTGGTCACCGGAGTCATGTCAAGAATCTATGTCTAGCCGGTATTTTTCAGTCAGAAAACAGAAAGCTGTTCTTCAGTCACTCTGCGACCAGGTTTGTTTATAGCGTTATTGATACCCCTTTTACCAAGCATTTTTTCAGTATAGTTAATGTTATCAGTTTTTGTTCGCATTGTTGTCGTACATGTTAACATGACTTTTTGACTATCACGGTAGCGTTATCGCCCGCCTTAGGTTAGCCAGATTAGATTACTGTCAGACTTGGCACTTACTCATGACCGGCATTACTCTACGGGTCAGAGACCTGTCCTGTGCGCAGTGAATACATTGAATAATTGACACTGATTGATCACTGGTGCTTGCAGAGTAGTGCTCACATATGGTGGGAATACCGTGCGAACAATCTTATGTCTGCCAGTTGATATTTAACAAGTAGCCTTCTGTGGCCTCACTGGAGTGAATGCTTAAGCTCAACTGCTTTCGTCCGCTACGCCATGTCCTGCTTGTGCAATTCAGCCTACTTCCTGTGTGTGCATTCTACGCCGTGGTTGCACCAAGTCGGGTGAAACCGCGAGATAGCAAGTCGATGATGTGGCATAAAGAAATTGCCTAAGAAACTTGGTCAAGTTTGTGCATACCGTCTTCGTGGATGGGGGTCCGGGATATCCCACACCGGTGGTTGGAGAACCTATCAGATATAACACAGTCAGTGGCGTTCCTGCATTCGATTTCTTTTATCTAGCCGTTTTTTCCGTCTCTGTTGCTTTCGCGCAATTCTGTCTTAATTCCACATTCTTTGTATTACATTTGCGCTCAACCTAACTTTCCTGCCGCTGGTCCTTGGGAATTGAATCCACTCATATTTTCCAAGTAATCTACCCTATTCAATCTAACCGTTGTTTTACCGTTATCAATATTTGTAAGGACAAATCAAGGATCGTTTCTCAAGGTCATTAACACTACATTTTCCTCTGGTTCACGATTCAGTTCCTCTGGCTTGGCCAGCGAAGTTACAAGACAAGGCTCGCAGCAGGCCTCAGTGGTGTCTGCTGTCGTATCCTGCTCGGATCGCGTGGTTAAATTGTGTGTGGTGCTGAGTTGACTACGGCGTAATGGTTGATTATGACGCGAGGCAGTGAAAGCCGCAAAGAAGCTGTTTCGCTGATATCGCCTTAGGCTTATAGAATAGACAGCTGTTTGTGACGGTATGCTATTGACAAAGTGTAGGCGCCTTGACTCAGAATGTTTTCTTAGGGCAGCAAAGTTTTACGCGCATCAGCCTAGCCTGACGAACAACCTTCTCGTGGTGCCAACTAGATGGTTCGTGTTTTCCCTTTTCAGCGAATGGTTCGACGGCGGTGTTTCAGGACGTGGTGGGTTTTCCTCTGTCAATCATTCTCTCTCTAAAAAGCTACATATCTCTGTTTAACAGCACTGCGACTGGCGGATATTACTCGCCACTAGATAAATTCACTGCCCCTTGCTTCCCTCCGGTGGAGCATTGTATTCCAGCAGCTTGCTGCTGAATTTGTGGGGAGGATTGGGCCCTTGTTTGGCACCTGACCAAACGAAGGGCGTATGAACCGAGAAATTGGTCTCTGACTCCCACTGGACGCGTTTCCCCGAGTTCGCTCCGCTGACTTGTGGATAGGATATTTGGCCAAAGACTCGGGGTAGAGTCCCCTACTACGGCCTAGACGACCAGATAGTATGTCGCCTACTGACGAACCATGGCGGTTCCATCAGCAGTGTTTGCGACAATTTTGTGCGTCACCTGGGGAGACAGAGTTGATGACACGGAAGTGTTGCGCCGAAGTAGAATGTATGCAGTGGACTGCATACTTTTGCTGCGACACCTGAGGTGGCTCGGTCATGTGTGGCGTATAGATTCGATGCGGATACCGAAACAACTATCATATGGTCAGCTGAGTATTGGGAAGCGGCATGCGGGGAAACTGAAGCTTCATTACCAAGACATGATCAAAGTGAGGCTATCACGTTCAATCTTGATTACAAGTCATGGGAATCGAAGGCGGTTGATCGGCGTGCATGGCGGGATCTGATCGCGACGGCAGTTGCCGAAGTGCGAGAGGAAGACCTCATACATGCAGAGCAAAAGCGGCAAGCACCCATGGGTTGTACTCCATCGACATCAAGCGCATGGTGCTGTAGCACATGCGGTCGCGAGTGCGTGAGTCAGGCAGGCCTAGTGAGCCATGAGCGAGGCCACTCAGAACCACTACGGAGGCGACGACGGGTCCTGCAGAGAACGTAGGCAGAACCGGCGCAGCGTTTGTAGGTACGCTGCATTCGATTTACTAACCGTGTGATTGCATGTTAAGTCTCTTTATTTCAGTTGGTGAGTATGCAATTTTGTCCAAATGCTTCTTTTCTCATATTAATATCTATCTGAAATATCTGTAAACTTGCACAGGTCGCCTAAGCTAATTGTAGTTAATATCGATAACATTTTCGTGTTTGTGGCATTTCTTTAAAATATATTTTCTGACGTCTTGACCTCATCGCGGATTCATTGTAAACAATTTTTTATACGCATATTAAGTGAAGAGTTATGACTCCGTATCTGTATGTATTATCCGATTTATTCTATTTCATCTTGTCGTTTCAGGTGATTGGCTGTTGTTTGATATCCTCGGTATGGCTGCGCTTGATGTGCATGTTGACAAGGTGCCTACTTGTCTATTACCCACTACCTCCTCCATACTGGCTCTAGGAGACAGCTGGGCGTTGCTGGAGAGGACGGGGTGCAGGGTCCTTGTGGCCGTGTTAGGCTCGAAGAGTGGTTCCATGCACTCAATGTGGAGCGGACTACGGTCCAGCCACCGCCTTTTGTGCGATTGATTCCCCAAATACAGCGTGCGTGTGTTTGCCTGTGTTGGAGTATGGGCCGGCTGTGTTGATGAAACGTGGCTCCCATCCACATGCCTCCCGGTCTTATTCCTTCGGGTTTGAATTGGATATGAGGCGTGTGGTTGGAGCTGTGTTTGTGCAGCGCAAGCCACTCGTGGTCCGTCTGTAGACGCAGGCGCCCTGTGGCTGTCTCGTGGAAGCCACAATGACAGGCAACTCCGGAATCGGATGTCGCCAACTATATATGGTTGGCGGCATCCGTTTTCGGATTTGCCCATCACTGTGGCCAACCACATGACGCCTGCGCCTACAGAGGGACCATGGGTGGCTTGCGTTGCACCACCCACAGCTCCATCCACACACCCCATATCCAGTGTAAACCCGAAGGAATAAGACCGGGATGTAGGTGGATGAGAGCCCCGTTTCATCAATGGAGCCGGCCCACACTCCTACACAGGCAAACACAAGCACGCTGTATTTGGAGGATCAAGCGCACACGAGACGGTGACTGGACCGTATTCCACTCCACATTGAGTGCATGGAATCACTCCTCGAGCCCAGCACGGCCGCAATAACCGTGCACCCCGTTCTCTCCAGCAACGCCCAGCTGTCTCCTAGAACCCGTATGGACGAGATAGTGGGTTATAGACAGGTAAGCACCTTGTCAACATGCACATCAAGCGCAGCCACACCGAGGATATCCAACAACAGCCAATCACTTGAAAGATAACAAATAAAATAAATCGAGTAATGCATAAAGAAACGGTGACATACATCTTAAATTAATGAGCATATGAAATAAGTTGTCTACAAACGATTCCGAGATAAAAACACGGGGTCGGAAAGTAGATTTTACGGGAATGCGACAAACACGAAAATGTTATCGATATTAACTACAATTAGCTTAGGCGACCTGTGCACGTTTATAGAAGAGAATACAGGTAGATATTCATCTGGGAAAGAAAAGGATTAGAACAAAATTGAATACCCACCACCTGAAATAAAGAGACTTAGCATGCAATCACGCGGTTAGTAAATCGAATGCAGCGTACCTACAAACGCTGCGCCGGTTCTGCCTACGTTCTCTGCAGGACCCGTCGTCGCCTCCGTAGTGGTTCTGAGTGGCCTCGCTCATGGCTCACTAGGCCTGCCTGACTCACGCACTCGCGACTGCATGTGCTACAGCACCATGCGCTTGATGTCGATGGAGTACAACCCATGGGTGCTTGCCGCTTTTGCTCTGCATGTATGAGGTCTTCCTCTCGCACTTCGGCAACTGCCGTCGCGATCAGATCCCGCCATGCACGCCGATCAACCGCCTTCGATTCCCATGACTTGTAATCAAGATTTGAACGTGATAGCCTCACTTTGATCATGTCTTGGTAATGAAGCTTCAGTTTCCCCGCATGCCGCTTCCCAATACTCAGCTGACCATATGATAGTTGTTTCGGTATCCGCATCGAATCTATACGCCACACATGACCGAGCCACCTCAGGTGTCGCAGCAAAAGTATGCAGTCCACTGCATACATTCTACTTCGGCGCAACACTTCCGTGTCATCACCTCTGTCTCCCCAGGTGACGCACAAAATTGTCGCAAACACTGCTGATGGAACCGCTCGAGCTATGACACATCCCGCCAGTACATTGTTCACGTATCGCTGCCGTATAGAAGAACGGACAGCACCATGGATCTGAAGACCATCCACTTTGTGCCAATGATAATTTAGTGGTTGTTCTGCACTCTGTACTCTAGCTAACCGAATGCCGCCGCTGCCTTCGATGCGCGGATACGCAGCTCACTGTGTAGCTACTGGTCAGTCGAAATCACGCTCCCAAGGTAGCAGAAGCGGGAGGTGCTTTCCAGTACTTCAGCGCCAGTGCTGATTCGCTTCTATATTGAAGACGGCACCTCCCGTGAAGGCTGAAAGAGACAGACAGTTTTGCTTGTGTTGATGGTGAGCCCGAATTTGGCCGCTGTCGAAGCCAGAGCACTAGTCATGTGCTGCAACTCATCCGCGCTGTGTGGAAACAACGCACAGTCGTCAGCGAACAGCAACATACGGATAGTTGTCTCAGAGACTAGAGTTCTCGCACCGAAACAACGGATGTTCAGCAACCAACCATGAATACGGTGCTCCACACGAACACCGTAAGCACAGGCGGCATCAAAAGCACAAGACCTCATGCCATGAAGATATTTATTAAACAGGGCACGAGCTGACACAGCCTTACTTCACACCAGAAACAACTGCAAAGTTATCCGAGGTCTCTCCACACATCTGCACCGTCACTCCCATACCAATGTGCAGAGATACGATTAAAATTACAGACTTACGGCGGGCAACCAGACTTACCCAACACCAGCCACAATGTCTCGCGGTCCACCGTATCAAATCTCTTGGGGAAATAAACAAAAAGCGAGTTCAAAGGCTGCTGTCGTTCTCTGCACTTCTCCTACAACTGACGAGCGGCAAACACCATATCTATAGTGCTGCGACCCGAGCTTAATCCACACTGCTCTTCCGCCACGTTAGGTTCCACAACCTGGCTGACGTGGCTGTTGAGCAGGATTCGACCAATCACCTTGCCCACACAACTCCGCAAGTTGATGCCACGATAATTCGTGCAACATTGCTTGCTATCTTTGCCTTTGTACAGTGGTAGCACAAGGGCATCCTTCAGCTCAGAAGGCACCTCCTCCTCAATCCATACGCGTTGCACCAAGTGGTGCAGCGCAGTCACCAACGCGAATCCGCCGTGTTTCGATACTTCAGGCGGGATCCCGGTGGCCCCCTCAAACTTGCCGTTTCACAGCTGAGCAAGTGCTCTCTGCGTATCATTCCGTGTTGGCGCGTGTGCCAGACTCGCTTTTACATCGTGTTGCTTCGGTCCGTACAAATTAGGCCAGTCGATGTCTGAAGGGTTGTTCAAGAGACAGTCAAAGTGTTTCCGCCAGATCTGCCTTATGTTTGCAGTCTATGCATGGGCAGCGCTTGAACTGCCATCGAGCAGCGTCCTCAGCGGCTCCAATCTCGGTCCATACACCGCCCTCAAGGAGTCAAAGAATTCCTTGTGTTGGCGCCGTTCGGCGTAGCATTCCATCTACTTCCTCTTCTCCGTCCACCATGCATTTTTAATGCGACGGAGCTCTCGGGCCAGTCGCCGTCGGAATTTGCGAAACTGACTCTTCTTCCGCAAGTCACCGAGGTCTGCCACATGTGCACCAAATGCTGCATTCTTCTCCGACACCAATGCGCTGATTGTCGCATTGTTCTCATCAAACCAATCGCGCCATTTACAGTTTGCGCGCCCGATTGTCTCCTCGGCAGCAGCTGTCACCTGTTCGCCCACCGTGGCCATGCAGTCCACATCACACAGGCGTGCAGCCATCGCCTTCTCCAGCTCAGTACGTTTCGCCCTAGTACCGAGGGAGGGAATGTTAAATTTACGCCGATTCACGGCGGCATGCAATACATAGATTTACGAAAATTTATGCGCAGTTTGGTTCGCACCAATTTGTGATCAGTGCCACACTCAGTTCCACGCAGTACACCTGTCATGCGCACTTCACGCATATCACCTGACGAGCAGGTGAGCGTAACCCCTCCGTGGGTGCGTCCAGGTTGCTATATCACTCGCACTCAGTGCAAACCGAGTGTTCCTGATCGTCAGGCCATGAGTGGCACACGGTGAGCAGCTGTCACTGTTCGCGTTCGCTGAACCAATGCCATGCGAACCGATGACATGTCCACACCGATGCATCACACCGAACACGCGCATTGTAAATTACCCAGCAGTAATTGTCGGTCGTTCCTCGGCACAGACTGTTTCACAGAGGATAGCTGAGAGTAGGATTGATCACGCGTCATCAGGATAACACATGGTCGGAGCGTACGTGCTTATAAAGGTGGCAAACTTACCTCCTCCGAGTCGTAGGCGAGCAGTCATCAGTCGCGCGCGGATGCCTGTTGATTCACCCACCAGCTGGCCATGGAGGTGATCGGATATTGCAAATCCGACCCCATGATCACGTGGTGCTGAGGCGGCGTTGCCCACCCAGTAGAATGTGCAGCCGGCACCTGGTCCATGCAACATGCTTTGTTTAGCGAGCCGAATTTCACTGAGCGCCGCAATATCGATGTGGTAGCGCGCCAGTTCCATCGCGACCATTGCAGTGCGTCGCTCGGGGTGCTCACTGGAGTTCCGGTCCAGTAGTGTGCACACGTTCCAGCACCCGATGCTGAGTGCTTTGCGCGCAGGCATACGACTGCATTGGTGGGCAATCGCACGCGAGGTGGCGGGAGTGTTTCGGAGGTTTGCTTGAGGGACTCCACCCGGAGCCTATGGCTCAATAGCCTGACCCACAAGACAGTAGGGGATTTGGAAGTTTGCTTGAGGGACTCCGCCCGGAACCTTTGGCTTAAGATCCTTACCCATAAGTCAGTGAGGAGCAGATCCAGCTCGAGTATGTGATAGCGGAGACAGATTGGGATCTGCTTGTCGGCCGTCACACGCAGCATTGGAGGTACTGGCACGATTCATATATGTTTTGCGACCGTAGTAGGATACACCTTCAACCACGGCCAGACGCAGGTGGGTTTTGGCGGGTTTGCACCAATTTGACCAGCGGCTGCCTGGCTTGAGGCGAGCAGTAGCAAAACAGTGAGAAACCAGGTGTGTCTTCCCACAGACAGAGACAATGTGTGGCGCTCGTGTTCTACGCCAATCGAGTTGTGAGCTTATAACCCGTAGACATGTTGTCTCCCATGGCTAGGTTTTACGGGAAGAGGGCCATCGACCACTTCCTAACCTCGGAAGAGGATGGGCTAGGATACTGGCAAGGCGCCCACACCTGACAGGGGAACGACTGGGGTCCTCAACCGAATCGTTCGATTAAATGGACACCCGAAAGTCAGCGGGTGTAGCTTATGGTCATTGCACTGACACATGCGGTTTAGTTTCCTGGATCTTAGCAGTGAGAAGGCGAAATCCAACTCCCACTCAGCGGTCGCCACGGAGATGTGTTCAGGACATGAGCCAATGATGCAAAAGTAGTAGCAGTGGGTAGATCATCCGTCATGATGTAGCCACAACCAGCCTCAGCGCACCATAGGCTCTCGCGCCATAGAAATATATATATATATATATATATATATATATATATATATTGCATGTCTCTGTATCTCTTTAGGACCTCGCACTACGATCCATTTTGTTTCTTGTTACTTATGCTTGCTAAACATTAGTCCTGCGCTCTCTCCTCACGATGTTCTTTTCACGTAGGTTGCTTGCTTATTTGATCTACATGCCGCACAGCTTTTGATCTCTCGCTCGCTGCTGCTTTATGATGCATCGGTCTGCTGCCTTAAGTTGTTATAATTGAAGTCAGTCCGCTAAATTTTATCCCCAATATCCTCCCTTTTCAGTGAGATGGCCCTTTGGGACTGGAACAACGGAAAGTGTTTGGAGTTCAAGATCGATACACGCTATCGGCATACACATATCAAGGTTTGTACATGCTTGTTTCCAAATTAATCACTCCTTCAGCTTTCTTTAACCCCCGTTTTACCACTGTTATCACCTACTATTTCCGTCTAGCCATAGTTACATGGCTTTGTTTTCCACCCTACTACTATTAACGACGAGACTGTACCTTAGCGTGATGCGATTGTTTGCGTGCTCCCGTGACCCATTGACATATGCTGTGTGGTACTTTCCAAGTGCCTTCAGAGCCACACATGCCAGACACTTCAATGATTAGGGGTTAGACCAACTTCGTCTCACAAGCCAATCCTCTTCGAAGTATAGGGATAGGTCGATGGCCCTCTTCCTTGAAAACCTTGCCATGGGAGACAAGTCTACATGTTATAAGCTCACAGCTCGATTGGCGTAGAGCATGAGCACCACAGATTGTCTCTGACGGTGGGAGGGCACTTTCGGGTGCTCAATGGTTTGCTACTGCCTTCATCAAGCCAGGCAGCCCCTGATCAAACTGGTACAAACCTGCCAACTCCCACCTGCGACTGCCCGTGGTCGCAGGTGCGTAACAGAATACGGTCGTAAGACACATATGCATTATTTTAAATCTTCAAAGGCTGTATGTGGCAGGCCTCAATCAGGTCCCAATGGGTGTCTACAATCACACTCCCCAGCTGGACTTGTTCACCACTGCCTTGTGGGTCAGGCTATTGAGCCAAAGGCTCCGCGTGGTGTCCCTCAAGCAACCCATGTACCCCACTGCCTTTACGGTCAGACTGTTGAGTCAAGTGCTAGAGGATGAGCACCTCGTACAAACCTCTTCTCTCTCAATGGGCAGCCGGAGAGTATCAGCTGCCCTCTCGACCACGCCGACAATACTCCCTCTACTTCTTCTTGTTTTTCTCTTATCCCCTTCTTCCCCGTCTATTGAGCAAGAGACTGCCGCTGACCTCGCAGCTGCTGCCATCGATACATGTAGCTCTTCCATCAAACCTAGAGTTTCATTTCACATTGGTTCTTTTAACGTCCGCACTCTAGGTCAGATCGTCCATGAAGTAGCACTGACTTACACTCTTCACTCTCTTGGTATTGATGTGTGCTGTGTCTCCGAAACACGCATACAAGATAACAGCGTCGTGACAAATCTTCGACTCCTTGGTTCTGAATCTGACGACAATGACTATACCCTTCGCATCTTCGGTGATACTGAGTCAATGGCTCAAGGTATTTACGGTGTTGGTATTGCCCTCAGCAAACATGCTGAAGGCAATCTGCTCGACTGGATACCGGTGAACAGCCGCATGTGTGCGGTTCGACTTCGAACCTCTATTGGAGTTAATAAGCAGCGTCTGAAGCCAAGGTGCCTTTTCATCGCCTCAGTTTATGCCCCTACTGAATGCAGTTCAGAGGGAATCGTAGGTGATTTGTATCGACAGCTCTGACCTCTTCTTCGTATAGCGAAGAATATCGACGTCTTGATTGTTCCTGGTGACATGAGTGCCCAAGTGAATCGTCTTTCGGACTCTGAACAGCACCTGAGAAGACGCTTCGAAGTCGATGCACGCCGAACAGACAATGGTGATCGCTTCCTGTAACTGTGCGCGGACCACAACCTTTACCTTAGCAGCACTGCTTTCCAGCACAAACTTTCATACCGCGTCATCTGGCGCCCACCGAATCCCTCCATAAACTGGACCCAAATTGACCATCTTGCCGGTGGCAATCAGATCCATTATCGGTTGCAACATTTCACACTGTTTGTCACAAATTTCTCAGTACAACCACGATTTCAGAGTTTCTTGCTCTAGGTTTGTTGGAAGATGTGTCATGGAAATGAGCTTTAGACCGAAAATAAATCCAACCATGTAGCTCACCAGTGTATTTTGCAGTCTATAGCAGTTAAAAGCAAGCCGATCAAAGATTGCATTAGTGCCATCGTTAATGGTCCTCCTACGCAGTAGTTTTTGGCCTGACTGCGATGCGTGCTGTCTCTCTGGTGGTTGGGATTCCTTCATCGCATTGGCGAACCACTAGCGTTTACAAACCGATTCGATGGTAATGACACAACTAATCCCTTCTTTGCTATGTTACAAGTGTACGTTGAAGCACTGTTAATCCACAGGTGTTTACCTATCCGCGCTTACTATGGAATCTTCCACTAATATTTCACTTCCTAATTCATTCTCTTCCTATTCCCGTTACTTATCTGAATGTTATCCGCAACTCCAATGATTGCCCAGGTTTTGTCTCATTTTTGTGATTATTCCCTCTTCTTTCTTAGTGCTTTCGAATATAACTTTGCCCAAGCAAATGCCTGGTCGGTCAAAGTGTGATGCATAGCATCTCACAATCTCGGAACTCACACACTTACTCTTTACCACCATATTTTAGCCTTAGGTGCTGAATTTTCTATCCCAGCCACATTCTTTGATTCGTTCTTTCTATATCCTTATGACTTAGCTGGCTGTTTTACGCATTACCTTAGATTAGCTCAGCTACAGTCTACAGTGTGTTGTACTCTCATCGATGTTTACCCCAATAGTCATTCATCCTCCGTGCTCAAATTGTTTACGGATCTCTTTTCTCCCTGCTTCTACACCTAACATTGCCTACATAATTGCCTAACCGCTCATGATTAATCCAGCACATAGCCTCTCGCGGTGTCGGTGCTCTCTTAATTGCTCTTTGCCAATCATGGTAATTAGTATACAGGCGTCTACACACGTTTTCTCTTAATACGGTATCTTAATTTCCACTTTCATCTCCGGGCTCATTATATCTCCTCGACTTACCTTAATGTTATTCGCAACGCCGATGATTAGCTTAGCCATCTTATTCCCCGCACGGTTAATTTCCTCTTCTTTCTCACTGCCCCTCACGTATAGCATCGCTCACCTAATTGGCTATTAGCTGGTGAAAGGGTGATTCGTCACCCCGACTCTTACAGTCTCGGTGCTTGTATTCTAGCTCTTCGTCATGATATTTTGGCCTCTCTTATGCACACAGACGTCTACCCATCTACGGCCTAAAAGTCAGTCTTCCTCTGTACCTTCCTTCCTTTGTTGTTCTTCACCCTTTCTCCATACCTTACTTGGTTGATGTGCGCATCGGGCCAGCCCAGCTCAGCTTCGGTCTCATCTGCATGATAAAGGTCATTTCCACGTTTTTTCATCACACACTTACCTCTCTCCCACCTGATCACTGGATTGACGCGCTCTTCTTCCATGCTACCTCGAGTTATAGTCAACTCAGGCTTCCTAACCCAGCCGGTTGAGATGTAATTCAACACATATTCAGCTAATTCATCATCGTCACTCCCAATCCGCAGGCTTAGGCTAGTCTGGAAAAGCACCAGACGCCGGCGTTTCGACCTTCTGGGTCTCATCAGTGGTGGGCCTCCCATCGGATCCCTGCGGGGTTCCACCCCCCCCCCACTACTACTCATCAACACATATTGTCCGCGGTGACAGACTGATTCTCTGCATCAAGGTACTTTTCTTGTGCCAGGTTAGATTATCCCTCACTACGACCTATGCCAAATTCCGTAAAGGATGGATATACGCAGCACAATAATGAACTAAGTCTACACATCGCGTAGTTATTTATCAATCATTTTGTGAGTTCTCGTGACTCCACTGCGTATGAGTGCTCTTCTTTTGTGTCTGACTTTTCCGCTATTTTCCCGAGATCTACTAAGAAGATTCGGCAGAAATTGAACGCCTACTTGAATTGATGATAAGCATCATCATCATCAACAGCAGTACATCAGCCATTTGAACTGATGCTTCGCTGCCATACAACCATGAAGAACTATGAAATAAAGAATAAGAAGAGGGAGAGAAGGGGGACTTACCTGAAAACCTTAATGCCCTAAGCAAACATTCAGGGTCAAGGCGCCTACACCTTGTGTAAACAACATACCATCACAAACAGCTGGCTATCGTGCAAAGATAAGGCGGCATCGGCGAGACAGCTTCCTTGCGGTTTTCACCGCCCCGCGTCTTAATCAGCCATTACCCCGCAGATAACTCAGCACCAAACACACTTTAAACAGGCAATCCGATTAGGAGACGGCAACAAACTGGTGTAGGTTGCGAGCCATGGCCCGTAAAATCTCGAGCCAAGCGCAAGGCGAGTCACGTGGACTCCAGCCCGGAAGGCGAGACGGACCAACGGCACCCAGTTTGATGATAAGCTAACCCGTTGGTATCCCAACACATCTTGTCGGGAATACCGCTGCTATTGGCTGCGTTTTTCTCAGATGCGAACAGGCGGACCCTACCTTGCGTGCCTTCTGGAAACTTTATTGCATTCATTTAATTTACCTGGTGTCAAATTGCCCTACGCACTATGTTCACCTCGCCAGTGGGAAATAATCGCAAGCGTACATATTACAACATAACTTCCTGGGTTACTTTATTGTTGTTATTCATTATATTTCACCAAAGAGAAATTGAAAATACTACCACAAAATTGGCAGATGCCCGTGCCTACCCTCACCATTGTTGCTGACGTCCTGGAACAAGTCCTCTGCTTCACCTATCTAGGGAGTTGCGGCGGTGTTGAAGTTGAGGTCTCACAACGGATCGCAAACGCATTCATCAGACTGAGACACCTATGGAGTCGTCCCGATGTCAGCCACAAGTTACAGGGTAGGGTGTGCATTGCATCTGTCCATGCGGTCCTCTTGTACGGGTGTGAGAACTGGCCTATTCGTTTGGAAAACATGAAGCGATTATCAATTTTCAACCAACGTCGTCTGCGCAGGATTGTCGTGTGTGGTAGCAGCATCACGTGATCAACACAGAAGTCCGAGATCGAGTGTTTATAGCAAACAGCCCATGCCTCCAAAGCGTTATTCTCCAACACCTGATACGTTTGCTAGGCCACGTGTTACGCATGCTATCGCTATCGCCTTCCCCATCGATCATTATTTGCGCTCCCCGAAAACGATTGGAAATTGTGCCGCAGTGAGCAACTAATGACGTGAAGAAGGCACATGAAAAAGACAATCTCAATCCATCTGATCGGTCCGCTTTCCAAGATGGAGACCATGCGACTCGGACTACCAATGGTTAGAAACGCTGGATGTGATGGCACGGAGCAGATATCAGTGGCGACAGTGTTGTTCAATCGCATTATCTATTTGTTACTGTTTAATCGCACATAAAACAACACGAAAAATGCGCAAAACGGCGTGTCTAAAACCGAAAAACTCGTTTCCTTCTGTTGTATTTTGTTTCTCCCCTTTTTTCTCGCCACTATTCGGATTGCACATTGTCTGCAATCAGGTTGTGAATATATATATATATATATATATATATATATATATATATATATATATATTCTGTTTGATTAACTGGCGTTGTATTGACGTCCATGAAATGCCCACTTCATCAGCGGGTTATATTTTCAAACGCTTTTGCCACAATATTCCCTCCTGGAGTAACCTCATTACTGCCGTTCACTGGTACGAAAAATTAGGTCGTACTCATTTTTTAGTCTTGTTAACTATTGCCGATGAATTTTGAAACGAAAAAAAACTTATCGACTGAGCTAAATAAAACTTAATCTGCAAACTTTGCTAACAATCTGTCAGTGGCCAGCGTAATTCCGGGGATCGGGACAACTGCGATTAGAACTTTCATGTGTACGAAGCAAATCTAGTTGCACTGCGTTCATTTTACATCGGTCGAGCATCACACCTGTTGGCTCTATTTTACCAAAACACTCCACAAGACCTTTTCGTTACATAGAGTCTTGACACACAACTTTCATTTCTCAAGTCAATTTGATCCTTATCAGTGCAATCACTACAAAATACGCTACTCCTAACCACAATTGGTTTATAAGTACTTATCTTTTCTCTCCTTACCCTCCTGTAAATGGTACGAGGAGAATCTTCATTCAACACATATGATCATACAACACTGACGCTTGTCCCTGTTCACCAGAACAAAACATTCCGTTCCACTTCCTTGTGCCACACGTGTACTCTCAGCTGACATCTGAACAGATTGCGGTTTTTTTCTCTCGATCCGGTTACGACCAGTGTCCTTCCTATGATTGCACCATCATGCCTCGTACCTCGTAGTGTCGAGAATATATGACTTATTTATTGATTTAGAAGACACCAATGGCAGCACATTTGTGCTCAGCGGTCTTAGTGGATAGGGCGGACTATGCCACGTCTGATGAGACATACGATTGTTTACGCTTATGGGGTTCATGCTTAGTTTTCAGATTGTTGTTATGCATGGCATACATGTGTGAACAGGAGAACAGCTCGGATCATCGACCAAAGCCTACTGTGCTCGTATACAGCGCTGGAAGCATGTGGTAGACCGCCGTTAGGTCTCCGCATTGATGTACCTATTTGTCGCAGTAACTTGCCTTGGCTCTCAACACTCACCACTGAGGCGCACATTGGACGGGACGGCAAAATAGAAGCGGGTCGTTGATCTGTCACGCACTTACTCTCGCAATCTGTAGAGGCTCATGGACTCTCACTATCGTTCTCGCCGATTTCTCACATTTATTTCTTCTTTGCAGCGTGTCATTGATCGATATCAAGTCAAACTTGCCACCCATCCTGATTTTTAGCCGACAACATTCTCCGCTTATAATAAGTAATGATATTGTTTAGTGCAAATCCTTGACTTCATTTTCGAAAATCTATGTCCGTATTTGGCAACGAGGCTAGTGGCGTATCCCACAACCGTGCGTTTAATGAAATTACTTTTTCTCTCCCAGTCTCATCAACCAACGTTTCTGGACTACCGGTTATTATTCTGTTGTGGGCAATATCCTCATATCGTTATCATCCATGCAACATCTCTGGTCGTGCTTTTCAACCTGACTTCTCAGTCGAAACCTGATTGGATCTCCAACTTCGCTGTTGTCTCTCACCCAAACAGACAACGTAAGTTGTTCTCCGATAGTCATCCTATCTGCAAGTCCATTTATAATCTGGCGTGTCTGGATACAGCGGTCCTAATACGTCGCTTATCTCATGTAGTCGGCAACTATGATACGCCGTTACTTTTCGCAACAGACCATTCTACGTCTACGCCTACGCACTTCGTTGATAGTTCTGTCCTATTTACTGGAATACGATATACACATTCCGCCACTTCGCATACAACGCTCTATTGTTTTGGTCGGGTTCATAACCCGATTTCGCAAGCTTCTTCGTACATACATACCGTATATTCTCTGTTTAACACAAGCTAATTTATTTTTAGCCGGTATTTTCTCTTCTACTTGGCCTCATCTGTTAACTTTTCTTGAAACGCACCACCAGCGTTACCGATTTTAGTAAGCCGGAGCCCGATTGGTTTGTTTACACACCGTCACAGTTTGCATAGTTTATTGTACTCCCCATCACGAGAGAGGGTATACTTTTCATTTCTTGCATAGTTGGAAACAGGAACCCTTTCCCAATGCGCATATAGCTCATGCGCCGATGAACTTGTATGACAGCCTATCTGGTCTCAACCAGACCGATGAGCTACAGCTGCAACATGCTCCACAGAATGGAAGCGCTGCGCACATTGACATGTACTTTGCATCTTTTCTGAACGTCTACAGACTATCGAGAGCGTGTGATGCTCCTCGTTTTTATTAAGCGAGTGACTGATCGGTTCAGATCAACAAGCCCATTTGAGGTTCTTCATACTCTGTACATTTGCACATTCAATAGCCGAGAAGTTGGTATTTATTCTCTTGCATTTTCTAACTCAGCCTTTTGTGGTGGTGCTCTGTGTATTGATTCAATCGCTCAACTCAGTCCATCTGATCAACTATGACCCATGCACCGTTAATGCAGTTACCTTAATCACTCTTGCCACGAAATTAGTAACGGCTAACTCAATACTAAAGAAAACTCAAAGATAATGAGCAGTGAGTAACATCATCAGAATGAAAACTTGAGTCAGAGATCAAACCTACGATTCAAGTGGGGTCATCAGCCTTGCTGTTTTCATTTTTTACTACTCTATTTCAGAGCTCCGAGTAAGCTTTGCTTAGGTCATATTCGCACCTGCATCCTTCTCAACCCAGTTCCCATATGATATGGGTATTGTCCCATCAGAAAAATGCCTCCACTTTTGAGGAAGGAGCTTGTCGGTGCATTCTTCCAAAGGAGTGTTTTGTTCCTGAGTACTCGCCAAAACGACTGAATCTATTTGCGACATCAATCCTTGGTTGAACATTGACCTGCTTTTTTATAAGTGCATGCATCCAGTCATTTGTTTATGTACTAGCGTCTACTACGCGCTTCTTTTTATCTCTTCTTCTAGATGAAGTTGTACTGGGCGTGTCTGCCTCAAATGTTGCCGCACTGTGGACTCTTAATGGCGATGAAGTTCAGGTTTGTGAAATCCCTTCATCTTGTGACACATCGTTTTTTGTTTTGGTTTTGGCCACTTGGATTTTCTTAACGAGAAGTAATCGTTCACGTGAAGCTGGTTAGTACATCAAGAGTGTTGCCTATTTATTATACCTGGTTATCTGGCTGTCAGCGTGCCGTCCTCCGTTACACCCACTCTAGCCTTTCGGTTGCTACGGGCTCTTTATAGCCTAGACCATCGTGAACACATTATCATCAGCAGTACATCGGTCATCTGAACTGATGCTTCGCTGCCATACAACCACGCCACGAAGAATAATAAGTGGGAGAGAAGAGGGACTTACCGGAAAACATGTTATAATTTTCACACTAGACGCGATTCCAAAATTGACACTTTACTGCTCCACAAAACTTCTAGCCCAACCGAAGGAAAAAGCAGAACGTCAATGACCTTGACAAAATAACGCATTAATCGCCGTCAACAAGCGCTTTACAACCAACGCGGACCTCGGCTCTATTTATAGGTCTCTTCGACTTCTAGCATTGGAAGGTCAGCTACCAAGGTTAGTGGCTCGCCATAACTTTTGCCGAGGTGCCAGGTGGTTTTTAGTCACCTGCAGATACTAGAACATTTTAGAACGTTCGAAATCGATGCGATAATCGTTAATAATCGCTTATTCGCTAAAATATTGGATTTTCTAGGTAATTCTTACTTTCTCCTGGACACATTCAGAATCAAGACGCCTATACTTTGTCAACAACATATCGTCACAAACAGCTGGCTGTCGTGCAAAGATAAGGCGGCATCGGTGAGCCAGCTTCCTTGCGGCCTTCACTTCCCCGCGCAGATAACTCACACCAAACACACTTTAAACTGGCAATCCGACTAGGAGACGGCAGGAGACGCGCCACTGGTGTCGGCTGCGAGCCATGTCCTGCAACGTCTCGAACCGAGCACCTGGCGGGTCACGTGGACTCCAGTCTGGAAGGCGAGACGGCACCGAGTTGAGTAGTCAGTGACTTCAAAGCTGAATTTAGAGAGCACGCTGTGTGGTTGGGTTGCGACTCGCAATCTCTATTGAGACCTCGGCTCATTTTGAGGTAAACCTCGGTCATTCCGATCTCGAGGACCGTATCCTGAATGGATATATTTGGATGTTGCTCTTCTTAGTGCCAGTGTTGGGAAGAGCAACACCCAAAATATCTAGTCAGTGACGCTTCCAACTCAACTTCTGTCCACCTCCAGCCTTGCGCCAACCTACATCTGGCAGACAAAACAAGGCCCTCCTCGGTAAGTGGTGACCGGGCATACGAAGTCCGTGCCCAAGCCAACCTAACTTACTCAGTGCTACCTGTTGTTCTAAGGAACTAGCTTGAGTATCGCTGCCTAGCACTCACCTACGCATATAATCCTTACGGACACGCTGGTGTCACCTAATACCAACAATGCTCCGCACGCAACGGTGAGCAAGACTTGAAGGCGCCTCAGACCGAAGGACCCAAGTCTCACTCCTATAGATCAGAACGGCCCGCATGGTGACCTTCTAAACACGGTCTTTCAGACGAAGGGAAGCTCCTTTCTGTCGCCGAAGTTGTTACAGATCCAAGAAAGCAGTTCTGGCTTTTGCAATGCATTAACTGACTTCAATTTTTATGCTCCCATCGTCGTTGATGCAGGTGCTGCGATAAGTGAATCGAGTTCCTCGTTATCAAGAGTCAAGGGGTCATCAATTGGCTGGTGGTTCTGCAACAACACTTTGCACTTTGAAGATGCGAAGCACATACCAAATTATGGGACCACTCAGGAGACTATTCAGGGTTGATTGTGCCACTGCAACATTGTTAAACAGCAAGATAATATCGTCCGTATAAGCAAGATCAACAAACTTTCAACATGCAGTACCTCAACGCCAGAATCCTGAGGCGTCGCAAGCGAACACTCCAAGATGGAGTCCACGACGAAATGGAACAAAATGGGAAAATCGGACAATCTTGATGAACGCCAATTGTTGTCGGAGAGCTATCCGACATGTCACCGTAGACTCTGACGCGGCCTGTAGTGTTTGAGTAGAGAGCACGTAAGATTTTCACATATTTCGTGGAAACCTTTCCGCGCAAGTATTTCGAATAGGATGCATCGATCGACTGAATTCGAGGAACGCAGTTATTGTCGATCTGCGGTATGCGCGCGCTGCTCTAGTAATTGCCGCAGCGTGAATATATGGTCCATACAGCCTCCTCCTGGGTGGCAACCTGCCTGCTCTGCCCTAATCTAGGACTCATGTTCCGTAGTAAGTCGACGAACGGGAATGGCGGTCAGTACTTTGGTCACAATTGATGTTAGGCTAATACCCCTGAGGTTAACACAGTCGGTGCGATTGCCATTGTATATTGCCACGATAATCGATTCACTCCAATCAGCCGAAACACTCTATTCATTCCAGATACGTTCGAATAGCGAGGTCAATGCTTTGCACAGGACCTCACTTCCATCCTTAAATAGTGCAGGTGGGAGGGAATCTGGGCCAGCAGCACGAAAACGATTGAGGCCTATGTTCGCGTTTCGGACCTCAGCCTCCGACTGTATCTCTCAACTAACTGGCCATGACCCAATCTGCAACACCTGAATAAAAAGAGGTCTAGAACCAAGGGAACAACTGAACTGCTCTCAAAAATGCTCCGCTCAACCAGCCACACGGCACTCTTTCTTGTTATTGGGAGCACCCATGCTATCTCTGATTGTCTCACTGACGCCTGGTTTTCTGGGACCAGTGGTACGGATCAGCTGGAAGAGCTTGCAGTAATTGCCTACTACTTTTGCCTCCTAAATTTCTTGAGCTCGACTGGTCCACCAGGCTTCCTTGTCAGTACATGGGCTCCGTTTTAGTTCGCGCCTAATAGTCCTTCTGGTCACATTGTGCTAAGAGCCAGTCGGGAGTTCTCTTTTGGATTCCAACTGGTTCACCGATCTCTTGGACGTATAGTGACTGGTGCAGTGACAATTGATAGTGCCAGAAGCAAATGCTTCTGCGCCGTGCATGGTGGCCGAGATCCTATTCTACGGAAGCTGTCTCACTAAGACAAGACAGCGAAAGTTCAGTACATGGTACATCTTGGTAAGCTTGTCTGACCGAGCGCTGAGATAACTTCTCATTTACCAGTCTCGGGATGTGCTTGGTACGCCTCCCGATGAAGGTCATGGAAGAGCGACAGCGTACTAAAGTATGATCCGAGTCGACGCAAGTATTCCAGAACGAGCGGCAATCCAGGATGAAACCACGCCAGCAATAACTTGTGGCACTGTGCTCAATTTGGGTCTATCGCTGGCCAGCTACAGGAGGACGCCAAGTGGCAATTCAGCGTCCACTGTGTCCAAAAGCGGCACTACTAAGAAACATCAGATGCTTCGCACAAAGCTGTAATAGACGCTCGCCGATGTCAGTCCGTTCGGAGTTAAGTATATACTGACCACCCAGCAAAGCTTCTGAAGAGTTCAGACACCCTACTTACTATGATGTCTGAACTTGTAACACTGCGCAGTAGCGTGTTTATTTGTGGTCTAAAGCGTCCTTCGCAGTATCGGAGCTGTAATCGTTGGGAGCGTAACGGCAACCACAAACAACCAGCGTCTTGTAATACTTCATGAAGCAACCTTGGTCGATATCGCCAAACGGCCTGCACACAAACGGCTATTCACCGGAATCCAATCAACTAACGATGACTCAGTCTTGGAGCGGAGAACAATACCCACTTCAGCTTGACCAGTTGTTGCTGCATCAACGTCTCCGGATGCGTGCAACCAATACCGAGAGGACAAGTTTGGCACAATTAAGCAACTCTGTGATGGTCATTGATCCTAGTTTCGGACACACAACACATCGATACCCAACGTGCCTAATGTGCGTATGAGTGCAGCCTGTTGACCTCTTTGTCTCAGAGCGTGCATGTTAAACGCAGTCAGAGCAATGGGACGGTGTGACTTTATAAGGGGCTGTTGGCAATTGGCGTCCAGTACATGGTGCGGAAACCAAGCCGCAGATGGTATGACTCCAGTGACATTGCGCTTGCTATCAATTGAACTGGAAATTATAGAAGGAAGGATACTAGTCGGGTTTGGGAGGGTAGTAAGAGAAAAAGCAAGAAGGGAGGCGCCATCAGTAGCATGTTTTCTCCTATCCGCCCTGTTGTATACAGCAGACAATGCGACCCTTGATAATCTGCGCAACGGCCAATGCAGGACGAAGTTTATGTTTGAACGAAAAGTCGTAGTTGTATGTAGGCTGAGATACTACCAGGGCGCCCAGACTTAGACGGGAGGACGATTAGGGTCCTCAACCAAAGCGGTCAGCTCAAAAGCCTATCCACAAGGCAGCTTATGTGGCAACGATCGGGTTTTACAGAAATGGACGCCATCCCATTTCAAACCCGCAACTTGGATGACCAGAAGACTGAGTTCATCAGACGTCTAACCATTGAGCAACTTGGTAGGAGTGGCTATTAAGTCGCCCGTGGGCAACACCCACTATAGCCCAATAGGTCGACGAGGTACGCAGGGCGTCTTACCACGTTAAGATCCAGTCTCATCGTGACGGTGCAATCCAGACCACACGGCGGATACTGCAAAACCCGACAGTCAATTTCCCAGAGTTCATTAACAATTTGTCACGTGTCCCTTAGAATTGAGTTCATCTGTATAGAAGTGATAGTCGGCAATTCAGGAGTCCAGATCTTTCAATCTAATCAAGTCCAAGCAATCTCATATTGAGACAATCGTTGATAAAACATGTTCCTGAAAACAGCATATTGTTGAAAATCACATCTCAGGTCAGTTCTCCACTCAACCGTAAAGTACTACCTAATGTATTCTTTGTATGGTTATTTCCTTTTGACAATTTAGCTTTTCGATTAATTCCCAGGTGGACCGTGAGGACAACTATCTCTGGGGCTGTGTCAAGTGGAAGGCGGATTGGAATGGGCACTGATAAGTACTTTCTACTGGATGTTAGATCGACTGAGTGTTG